AGGATTCTTGGCGACGCAAGCGTGCATTTTCATCGATTTTTCTTGTCAAAACAGCGGACTTATCTGTAAGATTTTAGGTCAATCAAAATTCGAGATTTTCGTATACACTTTCGAATATCACGCGGAATTTCTGAGATAATTCGTATTATTCGAAATTCGTATTCAACTGCTTTATTCAGTTGTCGATCATACTGAATTCGGCCAATAGTATGGGATGACCATTGAACATTCGACTGTCGAATAATAATAGAAAAGATTTTCGAATTGATCAAATGTTAGTAAATCAAAAATTTGGATCCGACTATGAGTATTATTAGAATCCCAGAAATTATATGCAACGATACAATTTTCATGATATCTAGGAGGGTGACTATCAATCCTAGAAATTTTGAGTGCAAATTTATTGTTGCTTCAGACTATCTCTGTCGAAATTGAAACTATCAAGACCAGCTATTTCTGGAGCGATTTTTCAGCACTCGGTTTCACTCGCAAGAAGTTCACCAACAAATTCGTAGCACCGTATAACGTCTCAAAATTTCAGCCCAATCTTATCAGGGCAGTACCTGTACTAGGGTGGTATACTTTTACCATACGCTTTGCAACCGTGGACTTCAGTACAGAACCGATTAGCATCATTCAAGTAATGCACTCACTTGTATGAATGACATATAGAGCTTGTCAACATCTGGTCGTTCTTCACGATCCACCTGAAACACTTTTCTTATGAGACAGTACACAAAGTATGATAGAATAATCCCTTATCGCTTGTCAATTGACCTTGCCGCGTAGCAAATTTTCATGTACGCAATACAACACCATCTCAAATACAATCCAATCACACCGTCACTAGTACAACCACCTCAATTCAGACGCATTCACACAGCTTCTGGATGATAAGATAGAATTACCTTGATGCTGACGAAATGATCGTTCAGATATTTGGCAATTTCCTCGTTTTCGAATGACTCATGCTCCATTACATGGCACCAATGGCAGGTAGAATATCCAACTAAAACTCAGCGATTTACATATAAAAAGACGATAAATCAAATAAGCAATAGCTTGAACTTATGGCAAAACGCAAAAAGACTGCTCGCGCAAATTTAATGAGCTACCAGTCTTTGCTTAAAGGCACCGTCCACCCAAATTGGGGCCGATAAGATTCTGATGTCCAACAGTAGTGGGGCTCTCAACTCCCAACT